CGCCCTCCCCCCGCCCTTCCCCTGTCCCTACCTGTCTGCGCCCGCACCGGTCGGATATGCTGCCCATGACGATGCAGCCGATAGTCTGCGCCAGGTAATTGAAGGCGAGCACCAAACCTAGAAAGGGGGGACATTGTGTGAGAGGAGAAGGGAGGGGAAGTTGCGAGGACCCAGACCCCAGGCCTACCGAGCTGGAAGGCATTGGCGCCGAGGCTCATGATGTAAAAGGGCAAGAGAGGGCTTGCGAGACCTGAGGGGGCAGGAAGGAGGGTAAGTTTTGCCAGAAAAACGTCCCTTCTCTCGACCTTGCCTCCCTCGTACCAGTGCCGACGGCATCCAGGAAGAAGGCAATGAAGACGGGCACTAGACGAGGCGGGGTGGGGATGGAGGCAAGGGCGGCCGCGGCTGAAGCGGATTCCTACGGAAGGTGAATTGCATAGACAGAGAGGGAGGGACCGTCAAGCGGCATGCCAGGAACGAATACCCCTCCCGACCCCTCCTGTCTCTCAGGTGAGAAAAAATCCCACTCTCCCCAGGTCTCCTCTCCCCCTTTCCAGCCCCGCTGACTACCTCTCTTTTCTCGTACTGTCGACCCGGCACATGCACGCGGAGACTGGTGGCTGGGAGCCATTTCTTGTTCTCTCGAAGCAGCCAAGAGCGGTCCGTGCGCCCAGGGTCGCGGCTGTTCACCTGCAGATACAGGAAAGGGTTAGCAGAGAAATCGGAGAACAGCGCGAAAAGGATGAAAAGAAGGCAGGACGGGGAGAGAAGGAGGAGAATGGGAAGGTAAGCCGGGCAAAGGGAGGCATCATGATAAGGTCGAGGGAGGGGCAGTGGCGGAGTGAACGTAAGGGCGTCGCCAAAAACCTGACAGAAGAAAGGCACTCCCCCAGGATCCTCTGTTCTCCCCCTGCTTCCTCCCATCCACGCCCTCTCGGACTTTCCTAACCCCCCCTTCCCGGCGCCCTCACCTTGCAGTACCCTAGGTAGTTGTCGTAGTTCAGAGCGGGGTCCAGGTCCAGGTGGAGTACCCACTGAGAGCCGTGCCAGTAAAGGTGCACCACGCGCCTCTCCTCGGCAAACACGCTGAGCTCCTGAGGAAAAGAGCGTTGGAAACGATGAGGCCGATGAAAATGGGGCGAATGGCAGTTTGCCGGCAAACAGGGATGATGGATGGATGGAGGGAGGGAGGGAGGGTGGTCACACCTGAGCCAGAGTCATCTCCTCGCTCGTCATCACTTTTTCGTAGTGCGCGCGCCCGTTATGGTCCCAGGCTGTGCGAATGAAGACACCGTTGATCATCCCTGAAGGAGAGGGATACCAGGGCAAGAAGGGGCAGGAGGGAGAGAGGAGGGTAGGGAGGGAGAAAGGAAAGCAGGAAAGGATAAGCTAGTGTCGGAGAAGTCGCACAAGCGCGGAGGGCCGAGTAAGAAATCGACAAGCGTATTGCATACGTACGTAAAGAGGATGGCGCGTTTTTGAAGGTCAGCGTCGAGGGCGGACCCAGATCTTCTGAAAGCGCCCCATCTTTGGGAGAGGAGGACGAGGCTACTGGTTGGCGCTTCTTCGCTGAGAAGATGCGAGTTAGGGTCTCTCAGTGTTAGACTGTGCTCATCAAGTCTTGATCCCACCACACGCCTTAATGCATGCTCCTTGACCCTCCTACACGCGCTCTTACCGTCCGCCGCGGGAGAGGGAGACACTCTGGCCGCTCTGCTCGCTCCTCCTCTTATTCTTGCCAGGTGTATCCCCTGCCTTCCCGTCATGTTCAAGCTTCCTACAATGTCCGGCATAGTCGTGCTCTTTTGTCTATCCCCGTCTCTTCTTTTCCAGGCTTCACTGCGGCACCAACTTTTACAGCCCGTGCTCGGACCATGTAAAGGCAAGGTGGGGAGAGGCGACATTTCCGTCGTGATCGTCGCGCTCGTCCACAAGGAGGCTCCATGCCTGCTCCAGATCATGTTCTGAAACATGCAGAGCGCACTTATTGCAAGCAGGAGAGGGGAACGTGGGGCCGAGACGGAGGAAGACGTCATCGCTAAGTTGTTCAATCACGGGGGGGAGAATGGAGAGTGGTGTGTGTAAGCCTGGTAATCCAGCGGGGGGTTATAACAGAGCTTGCACTTTCGCCTTTTTTGAATGTTTGTCCCTCTTCAGTCGTGTGCGTTCCTGTCTGTGTGTTTTTTGGCTTGTTATTCTTCAATCACATCCTGGTAGCGAACCTCGCACATTCCTAGGCGGGCATGAACAAGTTGAACTGCGTCACGAAGGCAGCTCCATCCGCTCAGTCATTTGAAATTTCCAGTAAATGCAATTGCAGAGCTGATACATATTCTGGCTCACATCCCGCTTGTCATTTCACGCGTCGGGACGCGCAGGGCGTCTCATCCCATTTGGTCGGTGGGTCCCTGTCTCCGGCGAATTGAGGGTCGTTCCAGCGAGTCCTGCCACACATGCAGGGGGGCCAGGCTAGCACGCGAGGAGGGTCTCATGCAGGACTCTGAGGTCGGGAATGGTCAAGCTATGCACCTCTTCGTGGTGCACGACGTGTTCGGACCAAGTCGCCGGTGATGCTTGTGCTCGTGCTTGATCTTTTTGTCACATGCGTGGCGTTGTGAGGCAGGCTGTGGGGAGGTGAAAGCCGACGGGCCACGACCTCGAGGGCGGCAGAGATCCCTTGAATGGTCGCATTAACGCCCCTTTTCGCATATTTCAATGCACAGCCCTTGAGAGGCTCAGCGTATCATGGCGGTGCAGTGGCATACGGACGGTCAACAACGGCTTAGGCTCCTGCTGTCCCTGCTGCTCCTCGCAAGAATAGCGCATGCCTTCCTCCTCCCTGCTCCCTCTCATTCCCCGTCGCGCCTGGGGAGTGGGGAGGACCAAGGCGATTTCGACATTGTAGACAGTGACGATGGAAATGATCCGCCAGCTGCGCCCTCAGATATGCTGGCGCGCATAATGCAGGTGGCGTAGAAGGCGGGCACATATTTATCCGTTTTACTCTTTACCTCTAAATCCCCTGTAGCTGTCCTTTTTTACTGTATCCCCCCTTCTTCCCTCAACAAACCCCCCCATGTTGCTACTCACGCGCATCGTCTCATTCGACAACCTCCACGATAACAGGGCGCCCAACAACGACGCGCCTCGTCCGGTGAAGGCGGCGACTGGGCTGTCTACTCCTCGGCCCTGCGAGGTACGCCGACGTAGGGGATGACAGAAACACGACAAACACGCCTGAAGTGCGAAGTCCTGGGACAGCTGTGGCAAGCGGTGTCTGAATAGGCATAACCCTCCCCCCTCCCACCCCGTTACCGGACAGGCGGAGTCGTGTTAGTAGCCAACCCAGCCGTCTTTCTCGCGGGGCCCCCCGCGGGGCTCGCCTCTCGCTTCCTCCTCCCCTCAGACCTCTCCCTCGGCCTCTTTTCCAGCTTTGGCGGTGCGTATATCCGGCTGCTTTTCCTTTTGCCTGGAAGATCTCCATCTCATCCTCCTTCCGCCCTCCTCGCCTCCCTCACGACCTCTCCCCATCCCTCCCGCCTTGCTCCTCAGGTGGGGGCCAGCAAGCCATCGACAACCTGGCCAACATCCTCCCCGTGGTCCTCCTACTGGGTTCAGGCAGTGGGGGAACGAGTGGGCTCGTATTGAATCGGCGCACCGGCTATCTTGTAGGGGATTTGAACGTGGATTCTTCGGGTAGGACGGGGAGAGGGTGGGCGACCGTCACGGCAAGGGGACCAGGGCCTGCCAGCATGCGCTTTCTCTTCTTACCCACTCGCACTCTCTCGCCCTCTTTCTTTCTCCATTCTCCGGCTTCTCCACGGCCTTTGTCTTTGTGGCCCTGTCTCCGTCCCTCTCTCCCTCCGCCCTCCCTCCAGGGTTTAAAATCCAACCGGTCCACCTCGGCGGCACTGGTGAGAGTGACGGCATTTTTATGATACACACTTATCCTGAATTGGAGAGGGCCACACAAGTGA